AAAATATTTATTGTTCTAAAAAATATATGTTTATCTTTGAAACTTTTACACAAATAAACACTAATATTTTTTGCATTTTAATTGCATTATAATACATATTTCTTTAAATTTTAGCTCTTTATTTCTTCAAATGTTTGCTACACTCCATATTTCTTTTGTATTAAAGCATTCCCCTCTCACTGCCCGCCTCAGCCTTACAACCTCCTTAAATGAATGCCCTTAAATGGATTTTCACCGACAAGAAAGTTTAATGCCAAAAATGTTTATTGCAGTTTATATAGGAGATGAATAGAGGGGATGCGTATGTAGAAGGAAAATATTTAGTGTGTGTGCATGTTCTTCATGCTTCTGGGTGAGCAACGTGTACGAGGGGCACTACTTATATTTTGAGCCTTGGCAACACTGAGTGTTGTCAGGTGCCATCGGACGTTTCCACTAGAAAGTTTGACATTTTTGACCATAACTTTCTTCAGAACGTTTTGTTATTTGAACGCGATTTGTATTGTTTACAGTCACTTGAAAATTGTGTCTCAGCGAAAAAATGGAATTAACTCGTGAAAATTTTCGTGCAATGATTTATTACGATTTTCGACGTGGATTATCAAGACAGGAGTGCATTGATCAACTTACTTCCACTTTTGGCGATAAAGCCCCATCCTTTGCCATTGTGAAACGCTGGTATAACGAATTTAATCGTGGTCGCCGTTCGCTCACCGACGAAAGTTGTGAAGGTCGTCCAAAATCAGTTGTTGCGTCAGAAAACATTGATGCTGTGCAAAAACTAATAATGCAAGATCGTCATGTGACATACTGTGAGATTGAGACAACCTTGGGCATTAGTTCCACCAGCATATATGAAATATTGCATAATCATTTAGCCGTGAAAAAGGTTTGTTCTCGTTGGATCCCACATAATCTGACAAAATCTCAAAAAGATGCTCGTGTCGATTGGGGCAAACAAATGCTTAAGAAATACAATGGCGATGCTTCAAAAGACGTGTATAAGATTGTAACAGGTGACGAATCATGGATCTATGCGTATGAGCCGGAAACTAAACAGCAGTCGACTGTATGGGTGTTTCAAGATGAACCAAATCCAACAAAAGTTGTTCGCGCTCGAAGCACTTCGAAACAAATGGTCGCCTGTTTTTTCGGAAAAACTGGTCATGTGGCAACAGTGCTTTTAGAGGAACGTAGAACGGTCAATTCTGAATGGTACACAACCATTTGTTTGCCGGAAGTCTTCAGTGAAATAAGGAAAACAAATAAGCACCGCCGGATCATTCTTCATCAAGACGATGCCAGCTGTCACACATCTCGTCTAACAACCGACTATTTGAGCACTCAAAAAATCGAATTAATGGGTCATCCGCCGTACAGTCCTGATTTGGCACCAAATGACTTCTTTTTGTTCCCGAACGTCAAGAATAAATTGCGTGGACAACGATTTTCGTCGGCAGAAGAAGCCGTTGATGCGTTCAAAGACCATATTTTGGAGGTGTCTCAAGCGGAATGGAAAAAATGCTTTGACAAGTGGTTCGAACGCATGCAAAAGTGTATAGATCATAAAGGAGAATATTTTGAAAAACAATAAATGACAAATTATTGTTTTATTATTATTATTTTTATTATTAGGCTCAAAATATAAATAGTGACCCTCGTTTTGGTATTACTGGTCGCGGGTAGTCGTTATTAGTCAGTCATCTAGAAATATTGGCTATAATTATCGAAATGGGTGAAAAGATGATGTTGTTCTTATTGGCTTCTAAGTTAAAGGATAGAACTAGTACATTACGGTTTGTGAGAGAACTTGGATTAGTACGGAGTTCACGGTTTTGTAAGATTCATAAGAGAGTGATGGTTTTTTATGAATCGTATGGTGTGCGGAAGATTTCAATGTTTTAAGCGTGGATCATATAATCATAATGTTACGGCTGCAGACAATACATGGTTTGAAAGGTGCCACATTTCAATGGAAAAATGTTTAATAATAACATATTGTTTTGCTGTTGGTAGTCTTTTGGACAAGCTGTTCGTTAAAGTAGTTGGCTTGAAGGTGAAATAACATCTGCGGAAACGATATCAGACAGATATTCGTTTTGTCGTGAAGTTTGTGCGGTATCATTGAATAAGCAATATGAAACGCTTGGTTACATTGGAGGAGACGGTTTTGTAGTTGAAGTTGATGAATGTAAGATTGGTCGGAGAAAATATGAACGAGGCCGTATTGTTGAAGGTTCTTGGATAATTGGTATGATTGTACGTGGGCAATCTGAAGATTATCGTTTAGAAATATGTCCTGATAAACGGGATGCGTCAACTTTAATAACATTAATTAAAAAACATGTTGCTCCTGGTACGGAAATTCATTCAGATTGCTGGAAAGGTTATCAAGATTTGGAAAAGCATGGTTATAAGCATAAAACTGTGAATCATTCTATAGAATTTATAAATTTGGAAAGTGGAGCATATACGCAAAATATAGAATCGTCATGGCGATCAATAAGAAGATTCCTGAGTCGAGGTGGAGTTACAAAAGCTAATATAGCCGATCATTTGTGTGAATTTTTATGGAGGCGGTATGTACGAAAGAAACAGTTAGATCCGTTTGAAAAGTTAATTTCTGATATTAAGGATGTGTATTTTGGCTAGAGGAAGAATAATATAAAGACGTTTATTTGTATAAGGGATAAAATTATATTTGTTTTATAAATGTATCGTTAAAAAAATTGTATTACTATATATATATATGTTATATTAATATATTGTTGTATTGTCATTTTCATATATTTTTTGTATAATTTCTGCTTAAATATTTTTTTTTGTTTTTGGAACGACTTTTCATGCGAAGCGACTCTTATTCTATCCTCCCCACCTGCTGAAAGGTCGCACGACTTCTATGATTGTACTGATGCACATGGGTTTCGACTTTCCATGCGAAGCGATTCTCACCCTTCTTCCCACCCCTCTACTTCAGGGGCGCATGACTCTCACCTCCGACTCTCACCCCCCTCCTCCCCCCTGCTTCAGGGGCGCAAGATTCTCACCTTCGACTCTCACCCCCCCCTACTTCACTACTTCAGGGGCGCACGACTCTCACCCCCGATTGTAATCCCTCCTCCCCCCTGCTTCAGGAGCGCACGACTTTCACCTCCGACTCTCACCCCCCCTGTGAAAGTTGCTTCGTGTTGAGAGTCAAAACCTATATAGAATAGTATTTAATATTGCTGAAATAATATGGCAGTATTTAATATCGCTGAAATAATACGTTATTTTTCTAACTTCTTTTATTAATAACTTTTTAATGAAGGACAAGCGATGGCTAAAACCTATTGGAGGTTATTCAAGATTATGACCTCGACAATATATGTCAAGATCAAGATCATAGTTTTACCATAAACTGCAATAAACATATAGTGTACTGAAAATAATAAGCACAAATTTCCATAATTTCATTCAAACATTTTTGGCATTAAACTTTCTTGTCGGTGAAAATCCATTTAAGGGCATTCATTTGACGTCATTTGGAGTATTTCTGCTAAATTTCATAATAATCGGGCGTTTGCCATTTTCGGAAGTTTATCACAAAATATAAATAGCTTAAATCAAATGTGGGAATATTTACAGGAAATTAATTCAAGATTTCAATTTTTATTAACGAGACGTATCAATCAAGATATAGTTGAACATACATTCAAGAGGTTTTAACCATCGGTCGAATACCTTGCGTA